TTGGGAGCCTAGGGTGCATCATGTTTTCGAGACCCCGAGGTAGTTGCCTCTGATGACCTTGGCTTCTTTGATCTTAAGGATTCAGATGGTTGGGCCTCAGCACGCCTCTTCCCAGCAGCAGACTGAGACTTGTCGCTCTCAGCCAATTTAAAAATCGGCAAAGTATCCTCTGTCTCAACCTGAGTCACCTTCGTCTTTGTTTGAGCTTTCTTTACTTTCTTCGGCTGCGAAAGGGGCTCGAATTGAGCTGGTTGAGCATCAACAGAGGAAGGAATACTGGCCAAGAGATCTTTGGCAACTGCTTTTTGACGGCCCATCTCAGTACCAAAAATAGTTCGTCACCGACGTTGTCGCTGAGATGGTGGGATCAGGTATGGAGCCGAGGTTGACGGCTGCTCAGCTGGATCAGAGATTGATCCTTGGTCTGTCCGAGATGTGGACGCGACTTGTGGAGTTGTGGCAGAAGGTGGAGAAAGGCTTTTCTTCTTCTTTTTTGGGACATCGGGAAGAGCCGACTTATAAGTGGGGATGAAGTTGAGAAGTAGAGGGGCCTTCCGCTTGTGGACTGGCAAATTCAGTAGTTTCTTCAAGTCTTTGCTGGGAAAGAAAGACTGATGGAAGCCCTTTGGAGGCTGAGGAAGAGCTGCAAAAAAAAACAAACATTAGAAACAAATAAAAGTATCGAAGACTTAGAAAACAAACAAGTAAATATGGACACAGGGCTCTTAGCATTGCCCTCTACAAAAACTGATCGAGGAAGAGGATAGAGATGGAGGTCCTCGTCTGGAGTGAATTCCCAGTTCCCCGAGGTAATGAAGTAATCGTCTTCAGCTCCCTTGTTGGAGTTTGGGAGGTCGGCTACGATTTTGTATTCTGTGGACCTCGGCTTAAGGTAGTAAATATAGCCCGTATCTTTTTTGAGGCCACACATGGTGTAGCAGTATTGAATGTCGGCTAAGGCGATCCTAACATTTTCTTGTTTGGCTAAGGCAATTATACCGTTGATAACTCGATAAGAATTGATGGCAAGTTGCATAGGATTCAACTTATAGTAATGAAGTATTTCACGAAAAAGGATGTTTAGTGGGAACCGAAGTCCGCACTCGATAAAGGCCACTACAGGGAAGGGCATAGAATCAGTGGTGGGCATGATGGAGTCGTCATCCCCAGCCAACCTCAGATGGACATCGGCAGGGATGGAGAACTCTCGCTTAAAGTATTCTAATTTTGTCGGGATGTCTACCCTATGCTTCCACATACCCATGATATCGGCTTAACTAAAGGGGTTGGATTTCAGAAGGGTGTATTTCTAAAAGGTTTTATGGACCTCGGCTAAAGCTGGAAGATACACAGAATGTATGGGAATCGTTTCAGTTTTTCCTAAAGATTCGTGGGTTCTTGAAATTCTTGTTTTGTCAAAGGCATGTCGATCTTAATGAAGATCTCGGTTGAGATATGTTAAGCTGACATAATGATAGTAAGTACCGATATAGGTTCCATCACCTCAGAATGTCAAGGTAATAGAACCTAGGAGGCAGTTGTGGGGATATATTTTCTGAGTCCCAACATGTGGCCAAGGTGACGCCGACGTGTCAGCTGAGGTGCCACGTGTCTAGGTTATGACGCCGAGGTTATCTCGGTTAGGCCGAGGTTATCTCCGAAGATATCGGAATCCGGGATAAGCGGATAAGGGACAAGAGTCCTAGAATGGGAGAAGACTTCAGTTTGGGTAAAGATAAGACTCTTAGAGAGTTTATCCTAATCCTACTGAGAGTCCAAGATTAGCAGTAATCCTAAGTCCATAGGAGTTAGGCTTCTGTTGGGACAAGGATTGAGTTAACTATAAAAGAAAGGCACACCCGATGGGTCTAAGGTACGCAATTTTGTATTCTAAATAGTGAGTCTAGAACTATTGATTATCTTTGAGAGATATACTGACTTGATCGTCGGAGTGCCCCCGAGTGGACGATCCACCGCCGGAATCTTCTCTTTTCTATTGAATACTGAATTGGCAGTGTGGTCGAAAAATCACTCACACAAAGTGTAAGTTAAAAGCTCGGAGGAAAGGAAAAGGGCTGATTCTATGCTACACGCTTACAACTAAGCTAGTGGTTTAGGATGATCTAAATAAATGTATATTTTAATTTTTTATGAAAATATATGCAGAAAAGTAGAAAGATGATGTGACTCTAGAAATGTAAAAAACTAAAAAGTGTGTTCTTATTAGTACACCCCAAATTTTGATTTTTTAATTATTTTAGTTTGAGATTAAAAGATTTCGTTTGGGATAAACTTTTTGAGATTAAAAAAAACCAAAGGTTCCATTTGATTTAATTTCTGAAAAAAGTTTTGAATTGTATTTTGAAAGATAAGTTGTTGAAAAGAATTTTGAATTTTGAAAATTAAAAATTTATGTTTGTTATGAGATTTGAAAATAATTTTGGAATGATTTGTAATTTTTTATTATTATTTATAGTTGAATAGATGGATGCGAGAGAAAATCTAATTAGTTGATATGTAAAATGTAAGACAATAAGAGAGAAGATAGGAGATAAGAGAAAGAAAAAATGAGTGATTTATTTATTAATAAAAAAAAGAAAAGAGAGAGAAAAAACAATTTTAAAAGAATTTTAAAAATTGATATATCAAATATATTTTTTTAATTTTTTAATCTAAATATTAATTTTAACACTAAAACAAACAGTATCAAAATATAAATAGTCTATGCCCACACGCCTTTGCCTTTTGGATGGCCAAATGAGAGCAACAAGGTGAGTGGCAGTTAGTTTCCTAGGAACTTTAATCATTAAAATGAAAGTTGGGGGATAAAAATTGAACTCTAATAATTGGTCTTGAAAAAAGCTAGGACAAAAAAGGGGGAGGATTATGAGAAGCTTTTCACGTGCCAAGTCCTCATTGAACCAAAAAAAGACTAGGAACCAAAAAAAGAAGGAATTAAAGTCCAACAAAATAACATATGAATAATAAATATGTTTGGATTGTCTGAAGTTCACCATATTAATTTGAGAGACCATTTAGGTTTGGTGGATCATTTTGGCAATGACCTTAATGATTTGAATGTTTATTTGTTAGTATTTATTGAGTACAATATTTACATAAAAAATTAAAATGATTGAATATTGATAGTTATATATTTGAATTATATTTGTATTACAAAAAGTGAATGCCTACCCTTGAAATTATAATTGCCGTCTATTTTTTTTAATAAATAAATGTGATTTAAGCATATAACCACTGATCTTCGATCATCTTAGTTTTTTATAAAAATATTCTATTCAATGAATTATAAAATATGAACGGTTCAGATCACGGAGATCAGCTCCAAAATGAATCCACCAAGCCCAAATGCTCTATCAAGTTGGAAGGCCAACTTGGAAGAATTCAATCTCATAAAAATATATACTAATAGTCAATTGAGGAAAATTATTATTATTAGTTTTTGTCACTCTTTAATTTTTATTAGCTTCTATATATATATATATATATATATATTTATTATATAAGAAAAAGCAGATTTTTAGTGAAAAACCTTCTAGGAGCTCCAAACCGTCATTCTAAAATTATTGAATTTTCAATTTACAAAATAGATTAAAAAATAAATTATTGACTAATATATTTAATTAATTATTAATTATTTTAAAAATAATAAATATTCCTTAATTTATGAAATTCAAATGGAAAGATAACAAAATATTTCATAATCTCTCCATCATAATCTCTCTCACCAATTTTCAAAAAATTAAAACCGTTCTTCCTGCTCTTTCTCCCCTAAACTATCTCTTTGATAAAAAAATCTACTTACCTTACATAGTTCCAATATTTTTTTTTAAACGTTATATTCAACTTTCTTATCCCTGAAGATGCTATATCATGCAAAACAACATCACACCATTTTTATTATTTTTTCTAAGATTGTTAAAGTTTAGTCAATATTTAATTTTTTTCCTACTCATTACACTTTTATTTATCAACAATACTATTTCTCCATTCTTTTACACCACATCACTTTCAATCTTTTTTTCTTTTTTTTTTTTGGCTTAAAGATCTATACTATATATATAAGCAAATGTAGTGGGTGTGCTCTTAGGCCTCCAAATCTCTATTTTTAATTTCCTAAAATTTTTAAAAATTATGTAGCACTTAAGTTTCAAACTCACTCCTCTCCCGTCACTTCCACTTAAAATAAAAATTATTTTTTAATAATTTAATAATATATGCTCTTAAAATAATAGTTATCCAAGTACAAACTTATCAACAAAAAATAAAGAAAAGAAAAGAGAAAGCTATTGCAAAATTTAAAAATATTTGAATTGGAAATATATATAAAGATAATTTATATCTATCAACAAAATTCAAAATAAAGATAATTTGAATTTGAATTTGAAAATATAATAAAGATAATCTATATATATCTATGACACCCGAATTTTTAAATTTAATTCAATACTGTTTTGATATCAACTAATCATGAGTAGAGAAAAATATACAGATATACATAATAATTAATAAATAAATAGAATTCCATATTATATCAACAAAAAAAAAAAAAAGTGCATAGTTTAGAAAGTTGGAAATTAACTAATTAAATTGTTAAGGGAATAGATTGTGAGACACCACACTTTTAGAATATTAAATAAGCGGTAAGTGATGTTTTATAGTTGGGTGGTGAGGTTTTCAGACATGAACCTAACGTATAATCATATGTAATTTTAGGAATTATAACCTTTAGAAGTGAAGAAAAAAAAAAAAAAAAAAAAAAAAAAAATAGAAGAGAAGCCAAGTAAGAATTCTGTGAGCCAAGGGTTAATGTGGCTCTTGGTAAATTCGTGAGGTAAAAAAGAAAAGCCAAGGGTCAAAAACAGGTGGCAAAAAGAGGGAGCTTCTACGTGTATAACTCTTAGCTTGGACCTCACACTTGGGTAAGTATAAATAGTGAGGGTGTTGAAGTAGAATGAGGAAGCAACCAACTAAGTAGAGTGAAAGGAGGATGAGCACAGCAAGAAGAGGTTCGGGAGCAGAGGAAAAATAAAAAAATAGGGATAGCTTTATAATAAAAGTGAGTTATATTATATCTTGAGCCATCATAACATGTTTTTTATATGTCTTGAGTCATTATAATATATTTTACGAATGTTTTGAGTTATCACAATTTATTTTATATAATTTATGTTTTGTGATTATATTAATGTTTTAATTATGTGGATTATTTTCTGAACTTTATTTGCTTAAATGGAAACCCATGGATATGTTTGTTTAAATTTTAGAAATTATTTAACAATAATTTTATAAACAATTAATTTCTATAAGTACCACCACGAGAGTCTCATACCTTAGGGGACTTAAATAAACCATTGGTTTCTGATTGGTCACCTTGTGGCCCTCTGTTTGTCATGAATCCATTGACCTTTGTTCTGTTTATCACTCCAATGATCTCTGTTCCGTTCTGTTCTGTACCGTGGTTATATTATTTATTTACTTAATTTATGTATTTCAGTTTCTGCCACTTGATGGTGAGAAGTTATAAGGAGTTACACTTGGATATGGGTCCAAGCCTATCTATATATATGCCTGTGATAGCCATCAAACACAACGATGTTTTGTGAATAAAATAGGCTTAAAACTCTGTTCCTTCCACTTTTCTCATATGGTTCTGTAAAAGTGTTCAGTGAGTGGGTTTTATTTATACATTCAACATTTGATTATTTAAGAATAAAGATTCAAAGGTTTGAACATCATGGCAGGAAGTATTCTTCTTTCTGAATTAAAATAATTTTAATTCTCACAATTGGTATCAGAGCCTCCTCCTGTTTTTGTTGTTTGGCCTTATTGTATTTATGGAGGTCAATTCTGTTTTGGTATAGATATTTGCAATTTCATGTATTTGTTCAGTTGATTTTAATATATTATTGTTTTCCACGCCTCCTAATGCTTTCGCATATACATCCAGTATGTCATACCACCATGACTCTTAGACCATTGTTTTGTTTTTTCCTTGTGAAGAGAATCTATAACCTATAGACCATTATAACAAGTCATATATATATATATATAGGTTTGATATTCTACTACTTAATGGTGGATCTCAGATTTTTTCAGTAGCCATTATTATACAAAATTTGTAGTTTCACTTATATATTTTGTTTAATTTAAGGATTACCCTTTGAAATCAATATAAACGTTTACTGTTTGGTTTATCTTGTTCAATAAATAAAAAAATAAAATAAAATTTTGAATCATGTTGGTTAATTTTCTCATTATTAGAGATAAATTGTTGCATAATGTATATTAATTAGAGGTAATAATAGAATTCATCTTGTTCTACAGTAGTAGTGTTTATATTAATTTAGAAGTGTTCATATTCTAAATTTGCTATGTTTTGCAAACCTACTATATATCATTAAGTATGAGTTTTCATTAATTGCCACACATTGAAAACCATTTTGTATAAAATCTAGAAATTCTCATGCTTTTATTTGGGTGTATTCAGATAATTTTAAAAGGCATAAAAGACTTAAATATATTTCTAGATTTTTTTTTTTTATATATAAAGGACATGATATTAAGGATATTTTGTTTATTATAGTTGCATGTTTAAATAGTAAGTAAATTCATTTGAATTTCATACAGTGAACTGTTTTAACATATTCTTTAAAAGTCTTATAAATTTTCATAATAATTAGCATGCTCTCTAGTATAGTGTAATATCATACTACATGTATGAAGATTATTTATTCCTTGAAAATTTATGTAAAATAAGAGCATGTATATACTATGTGTTGGGTTTATGGAATTTATTTTGGTCCAGCTTTTAAGCAAAATCTAGTATAAGGTTGAATTACATGTGTTTGGTCTTGAGATTTTTCATGTGATATTATTTTGATTGTATGTATTATATGCTATGTGCATTAAAAGATTATATATTTGTTGTGACTATAAGGATTTACTCACATTAATCAATTATACCATATTTAAAAATTTTATTCTGTTTTAAGAGTAGCCACAGCATCGTAAGACATAAAGATGCAATCCTCAGTATTTTGATCGCATAAAGTTAAAAATTAATTTAGTATTTTTACATTGCAATTTTATTTTATAAATAATTTCTTGTTCCCACAGGAAAGTAATTATTTATGAAATTTCATTGGAATAAGATAATGGATTGGGTATTAAAGAGATTGAACACTCTAAACCAACAGGTATGAGTTTTCTTTTCCTTGAATATTTCGGAACCCATTAGTCTTATTTTAAAGTAATAGCAAATCTAATACAGTTTAGTGACCTCTACCCACAGGAAAGTTTAGATTTGTTACTGAATTTGACATTGGTTGATTTAGACTATAGCTATTGTTTCAAAACATTAATAATGTTCTTGGTAATTGCAATGATTTCTACCTCTATACTATCTAATGAGTCTTCTCGTATTCCATTCTTGAACGGTGATAATTTTTCAGACTGGAAGGACAAAATCCTTCTAACATTAGGGTGCATGGACCTCGATCTGGCACTTCGTGTGGATGAACCTCCTGAACCCACGGACGAGAGTTTCGCTGCAGAAAAGAGTGCTTATGATAAGTGAGAACGATCCAATAGCTTAAGCCTAATGCTCATAAAGTCACATATCAGCCAAAGCATTAGAGGCTCAATCCCACTATCTGATAAGGTCAAGAACTACATGAAGGCCATTGAAGAGCAATTTGTTAGTTCTGACAAAGCATTGGCAAGCACCTTAATGAACAAACTATCATGAATGAAGCATAACAATTCTAGGAGTGTGTGTGAGCACATTATGGAAATGAGAGACATTGTTGCTCGTCTTAAGTCCTTAGAGATTGAGATTTCTGAGTCATTCCTTGTCAATTTCATACTCAATTCTCTTCCTGTGGAATATGGAGCATTCCAAATTTCTTATAACACACAGAAGGAAAAATGGTCTCTCAATGAACTTTTGACCATGTGTGTTCAAGAGAAGGAGAGATTGAAGCATGGAAAAGTGGAAAGTGTTCATTTAGCAACACATAAAATAGGGCAATGGAAAAAGGGCAAAGGTGATCAGAAATGGAAGAAGCTTAGTAAAGTGCCATTTAAAAATCATGGCAATAATGATGCATGATTCTTCTGCAAGAAAAAGGGTCACATGAAGAAAGACTTCCCCAAGTATAAGAAATGGCTTGAGAAAAAAGGTAATCTCATATCTCTTGTGTATTATGAATCTAATGTTGTTAATACTCATCAATATGATTGGTGGATTGATTCGGGTTCTACAATTCACATTGCTAATACCATGCAGGGCTTCCTCAGCCTAAGGAAACCGACGGGAAGTGAACAAGGCATCTATTCGGGCAATGGGATGCGTTCGCACGTCGAAGCTGTTGGAACTTTCAGACTTGTTTTAAAAAATGGCTTTGTTTTGGATCTTGAAAACGCATTTTACATTCCATCTTTTTCAAAAACTTAATTTCTATTTCTAGACTAGTACCGTTTGGATTTGAATTTTAGTTTGTTGGTGCAAATTTTAGTTTGTTTAAAGACTCTGTTTCTGTAGGATTTGGTACTTTAATTAATGGTTTGTACAAATTAAATCTGGATCCTATTTTTTAACAAAATCTTTTAACCTTGCATGGTGATATTGGCATTAAGTGTAATATTGTTGATGAGTCCTCCTCCATTCTTTGGCATAGGAGATTGGGACATATCTCCATTGAGAGAATAAAGAGGTTGGTTAATGATGAAGTCCTTCCGACTCTTGATTTTACCAAATTTGGTATTTGTGTGGACTGCATAAAGAGAAAACAGACCAACAAAACCAGTAAAGGTGCCAAAAGGAGTGAGGAAATTCTTAGAATCATACACACTGATATTTGTGGACCATTTACTCCATCTTGTTTGAATGGTCAGAGATATTTTATCTCATTTATTGATGACTTCACACGATACATGTATCTCTACCTCTTGTTTGATAAGGCCGAGGCACTTGATACCTTTAAAGTTTATAAAGCAGAGGCAGAGAAACAAACAAAAAAGAAAATTAAAATTGTGAGGTCAGACAGGGGTGAAGAATATTATGGGATGTACACAGAATTGGGATACTTACCCAGTCCATTTGCTAAGTTCCTTAAGGAAGAAAGCATTATTGCACAATATTCAATGCCTGGCACACCACAACAAAATGGTGTTGCTGAAAGAAGGAACCGAACACTTATGGACATGGTAAGGAGCATGCTTAGTTATTCTAATGTGTCTATAAATTTATAGGGGAAGCTTTGAAAACCGCTGTGTATATCTTAAACAGGGTTCCATCCAAGGTTGTTCCCAAAACACCGTTTGAGTTATGGAAAGGATGGAAGCCAAGTTTAAGAAGCTTACACGTTTGGGGTTGTCCAGTTGAAGTGAGGGTGTATAACCCATATTTAAAGAAATTGGACCCCAGAACAGTTAGTGGTTTTTTCATAGGCTATGCGGAAAACTCCAAGGGTTACAGATTTTATTGTCCTTCAAATTCACTTAGAATTGTCGAAGCCAGAAATGCTAAGTTTATTGTGGAAGTTGACCCTAGTGGGAGTTACCCTCGAAAGATAGAGTGGAAGGAATCACGGGATCCAGATACAATACCCATGAATATAGGTGAATTTTGTCTTTCAAGATAATCAACCCGTTATTCTTGAAAATCAACAAATTCAAGAACTTTCACCACAAGAGGAACAAGTTAACACAGAGCCTGTAGCTCAAGTCCCAATTGAGACTACAAAATTAAGGAGATCCTCACGAGCTAGAAAGTTAGCAATTTCTGGTGATTATTTTGTATACTCAATGGAGTCTGATTTTGACATCGGACCTAAAGATGATCCTATTTCATTTTCCAATACCATGAATAGGGATGATTCTAAATTATGGCATGATTCCATGAAGGAAGAGTTGGAATCTATGGCTAAGAATCAAGTTTGAGAAATTATCGAGTTGCCTAAAGGAGTTAAAACGGTTGGCTGTAAACGGGTCTATAAGACCAAGAAAGACTCAAATGGCAATGTCGAACGATATAAAGCCAGACTCATAGCTAAAGGTTTCACTCAAAGAGAAGGCATCGATTATCATATTACATTTTCTCCGGTTTCTAAGAAGGATTCATTTCGAATTATCATGGCATTAGTAGCTCATTTTGATTTAGAGCTACATCAAATGGATGTGAAAACAGTATTTTTAAATGGGGATCTTGAGGAAGAAGTATACATGAAGCAACCTGAAGGGTTTTGTTTGGATAAAGATAGTCTTTTAGTTTGCAAGCTCAAGAAATCCATATATGGACTAAAACAAGCTTCCCGACAGTGGTATTTAAAGTTCCACAATGTTATTACTTCATATGATTTTACGGAGAATGTTGTGGACAACTGTATATACCTTAAGGTTAGTGGGAGAAAATACATTTTTCTAGTTCTATATGTGGATGACATTTTACTTACAGCTAATGATTTGGGATTGTTGCATGATACTAAACAATTTCTTTCCCAATATTTTGAAATGAAGGACATGGGTGAAGCTTCTTATGTCATTGGCATAGAGATTCACAGAGATAGGTCCAAAAGGACATTAGGACTATCTCATAAAGCCTACTTTAAAAGAGTTTTGGAGAAATTCAAGATGGGTGATTGCACTCCTAATGCAGCGCCCATTTTAAAGGGTGGCAAATTCAGTTTAAATCAATGTCCGAAAAATGATTTGGAAAAGGAACAAATGGTTAGCATTCCCTATGCGTCTGTCATAGGTAGTTTAATGCATGCTCTGGTTTGTACACGACCTGACATTGCATTTGCAGTTGGGATGCTTGGAAGATACCAAAGTAATCCAGGAATGGAACATTGGAAGGCTGCAAAGAAAATCATCAGGTACTTATAGGGAACCAAGGACTACATGCTTACTTACAAGCATGTTGACTGTCTTGAGGTGGTTGGATATTCAGACTCGGATTTTGCGGGTTGTCAAGATTTCAGAAAATCCACTTTAGGATATGTCTATCTACTAGCCGGTGGTGCTGTTTGATGGAAGAGCGCCAAAGAGACGATAATTGCATCGTCAACAATGGAAGCAGAGTTTATAGCATGCTTTGAAGCAACCTCACAGGCTATTTGGTTAAGGAATTTTATCACAGGGCTTCGAATTGTGGATTCAATTTTTAGGCCATTAAAGGTTTACTGTGATAATTCGGCTGCGGTTTTTTTCTCTAACAACAACAAAAATGGTAGCTGAAGCAAGCATATTGACATAAAGTATCTTGCTGTTTGAGACCGTGTTAAGAAGTAAGAAGTCGGCATTGAGCATATTAGTACCGATATGATGATTACAGATCCCATGACCAAAGGTTTTTCTGTAAAAGTGTTTTCAAAACACGTTGGGGACATGTGATTGATTGGTTAGCTCAATAATTTTTCTAGTAGTTGTTTTATTTTGTTTTGTCATGACATTTTGATTATTATTAGTGAAAAGAATCATTTTGTGCACCTAAAGTATTTGTGATGCCATGCAGTCCATTGGGACTATTGATCCCTAGGGATCATTGGATCCAGAATAACTTATTAGAAGTTATTCATAAAGAATGACACCACATACAGTTGAGAGTGTGATACAATATAATACATAGAAGGAAATACTTAATTGATAGAGTATAACCGCCATGATTCGTGTATTATAACTCTAAGGTTTGGGTATTGTTATTTAATGGCCATAATCAATTTGTTAGTTACCCGACAGTCAACAACGTATGTTATATGTACAAAGTGGGAGAATGTAAGAATATCCATTAAGTGGCCCATATGCCACATGTTTGTTTTATTTATTTATTTATTTATATTATATATATTTAATTAGTTTAATGGTTAATGGGTAACTAACGTTTGTTCATTATCCCATATGGTGGTTTCATGGACCTTACAACTTCCCTGATGGTGGGAAGTTATAAGGAGTTACACTTGGATATGGGTCCAAGCCTATCTATATATATGCCTGTGATAGCCATCAAACACAGACGTTGTTTTGTGAATAGAATAGGCTTGAAACTCTGTTCCTTCCACTTTTCCCATGTGGTTCTGTAAAAGTGTTCAGTGAGTGGGTTTTGTTTATACATTAAACATTTGATCATTCAAGGATAAAGATTCAAAGGCTTAAACATCATGGCAGGAGGTATTTTTCTTTCTAAATTAAAATAATTTTAATTCTCACACGTATATCTATCTTTGAGAGATTAAGCTTTCTTTGAAAGAAAAAACCTTCATTTCAATCTTGTAATACACTCAGTGTTCTTGACTCTTTGAGTGTGATTGAGAATCACCTAAAGAGGGCAAGGTTTTGGACTTGGAAAGTTTGTAAAATCTGTGGAGGATTGCTCTATTTGTGAAGAGGTTGCTAGCACCCCTGTGAAGTTAGAAGATAGTGGAAAATCTCAAGTGAAGCTTGAGGAGTGGATGTAGGTTTGGTTGAAACCGAACCACTATAAATCTGTTTGCCTCCTTTTCCCTTATCTCTTTATTCTGCTTCACTACTATATACTCACTGTGTTGATTTTTGTTATTGCCATACCTGTCATAGTACTTGCTACTTTGTGCTAAATCATCAAATCACTTCACTCACCTTATATAGCTATATGATATTCCTCTTATATTGAGTGTTAAAGTTATATTTACTAATTCTAAATCATAATCTATTAAGCCTAAAACCTTTCACTATTGATTTAAGAGTTAGCCACACTTCACTATTAGTTCATCCTTGAGCTTATTCATATTTTGCCTTAGTTGTTTTTCCATACTTTACTGTTAATTTCATCATTGTGCTAAATCAAATTAACTAGTATTAATTTTCTAATTCTTCTTTTTATCTGTTAATCATTTGCTATACTAGTTGTAATTTTTATTGGGGCATTATTAATTTTAATTTGTAGAAACCTAATTAGCCCCCTCTTTGGTTGCTTTTTAGGTAACAATTGGCATCAGAGTAAGGGCTATAGCGATCCCGGTTTTTCCTTCCTTTGTATACTGTATTTCTTAATTGTTGTAGACATTGTATAGCGATCCCGGTTTTTCCTTCCTTTGTATACTGTATTCTGGACTTGGTTCCGTGGACTTGTTTTTGTATTATTATCACTTCTAGCCTTTACTCTTTGTATTAGAGTCTTAGGTTGTGATGGGCAGGTTTGAAACAAGTTGGTTGCACTTTGAAACCAAAAGGTGATGTCCAGATTTTGGCCTTCACGCTCGAGCGGAAGTTTAAACGCTCGAGCGGGCTCTTCGTTGTTACTTATCCGCTCGAGCGGGAGTTTTGACGCTCGAGCGTGTTTTTCCATCTCCCAGTACTTTACTCTGCAGTCCCTCCGCTCGAGCGGAGAGTTTGGCGCTCGAGCGGGTACCATCGCCTGCAAAACTTCTGGAAGTGTGCAATCGACGCTCGAGCGGCTCTTTTCACGCTCAAGCGTGAGTCTGTGTCTGACGCTCGAGCGGGGATTTTCACGCTCGAGCGGGGAGTCGATTACATCAGTCCGAGATTTCACTTTTT